CCCCCCGCCTTCCCCCTGCAGAGCCGGGATGAGAGGAGCTGAAGAGCCTGCTCAATCCAGGCCGTGGGGCAGGGGTGGACTCAGACCCTGGAGCAATGGGGCAGGGCAGGGAGTCCATCCCCACAGCAAGGGGCTGGGGAAACTGAGGCACGGCCAGGTGGGGGATGTCTCCAGAACAAGGGGCTGGGGGGTCCCTCTCCAGACTGGGGTGGGACAGTATAAGAGGGGCATGAGGGTTGGGTCCCTGGAACAAGGGGCTGGGGAAACTGAGGCACAGCAGGGCAGACGGCAGACAGTCCCCCGACCAATAGGGACTTTGGAGCCAGCCAGTTCTCCCCCTCAGGCTGGGGGGGGGCTGTTAAAACAGAGCCCCTCCTCCAGGCTCCAATTGCAGCTGCTGGTCTGCCCCCCCGCCCCGCACCCACCAGAGCCCGTTTAGTGCAGGCACCCGGTAGCCAGTCAGCTGTGAGAGCAGAACCGGGGGAGCTGCCAGTTCCTCCCCTGGACCAGACGTTGCTCTGGAAAAGCAGACCCGTGCCAGCTTCCCCGTACGGCACGAGGGGCGGAGTCGGGTCGCACCCAAACCGGCCTGGCAAGGTCATTGCACAAGAGCTGTTGCGAGGGAAGGGAAGTGTCGGGTCCCGGCTTTCAAACCCACAGAAGTGACACTTGTCTCCTGAGCAGGTGGGTCCCGTGGGTCTGGGCTATCGCAGGCCACGCCGTGCACCAGGGAAAGCCACAGAGACACCGGAGCAGGCAGGGCTGAGCGATCGCAGGCCCCGGCACGCACCAGGGAGAGCCACGGAGACACCGGAGCAGGCAGGGCTGAGCGATCGCAGGCCCCGGCACGCACCAGGGAGAGCCACGGAGACACCGGAGCAGGCAGGGCTGAGCGATCGCAGGCCCCGGCACGCACCAGGGAGAGCCACGGAGACACCGGAGCAGGCAGGGCTGAGCGATCGCAGGCCCCGGCACGCACCAGGGAGAGCCACGGAGACACCGGAGCAGGCAGGGCTGAGCGATCGCAGGCCACGCCACGCACCAGGGCAAGCCACAGAGACACCAGAGCAGGCAGGTCTGAGCGATCGCAGGCCATGCCGTGCACCAGGGAGAGCCACAGAGACACCGAAGCAGGCGGGTCTGAGCGATCGCAGGCCACGCCGTGCACCAGGGAGAGCCACGGAGACACCGGAGCAGGCAGGTCTGAGCGATCGCAGGCCATGCCGTGCACCAGGGAGAGCCACAGAGACACCGAAGCAGGCGGGTCTGAGCGATCGCAGGCCACGCCGTGCACCAGGGAGAGCCACGGAGACACCGGAGCAGGCAGGTCTGAGCGATCGCAGGCCATGCCGTGCACCAGGGAGAGCCACAGAGACACCGAAGCAGGCGGGTCTGAGCGATCGCAGGCCACGCCGTGCACCAGGGAGAGCCACGGAGACACCGGAGCAGGCAGGTCTGAGCGATCGCAGGCCATGCCGTGCACCAGGGAGAGCCACAGAGACACCGAAGCAGGCGGGTCTGAGCGATCGCAGGCCACGCCGTGCACCAGGGAGAGCCACGGAGACACCGGAGCAGGCAGGTCTGAGCGATCGCAGGCCATGCCGTGCACCAGGGAGAGCCACAGAGACACCGAAGCAGGCGGGTCTGAGCGATCGCAGGCCACGCCGTGCACCAGGGAGAGCCACGGAGACACCGGAGCAGGCAGGTCTGAGCGATCGCAGGCCATGCCGTGCACCAGGGAGAGCCACAGAGACACCGAAGCAGGCGGGTCTGAGCGATCGCAGGCCACGCCGTGCACCAGGGAGAGCCACGGAGACACCGGAGCAGGCAGGTCTGAGCGATCGCAGGCCATGCCGTGCACCAGGGAGAGCCACAGAGACACCGAAGCAGGCGGGTCTGAGCGATCGCAGGCCACGCCGTGCACCAGGGAGAGCCACGGAGACACCGGAGCAGGCAGGTCTGAGCGATCGCAGGCCATGCCGTGCACCAGGGAGAGCCACAGAGACACCGAAGCAGGCGGGTCTGAGCGATCGCAGGCCACGCCGTGCACCAGGGAGAGCCACGGAGACACCGGAGCAGGCAGGTCTGAGCGATCGCAGGCCATGCCGTGCACCAGGGAGAGCCACAGAGACACCGAAGCAGGCGGGTCTGAGCGATCGCAGGCCACGCCGTGCACCAGGGAGAGCCACGGAGACACCGGAGCAGGCAGGTCTGAGCGATCGCAGGCCATGCCGTGCACCAGGGAGAGCCACAGAGACACCGGAGCAGGCGGGTTTAAGCGATCACAGGCCACACCGTGCACCAGAGCAAGCCACAGAGACACCGGAGCAGGCGGGTTTAAGCAATCACAGGCCACGCCGTGCACCAGGGTGAGCCATGGAGACCCTGGGGCAGGCAGGG